TTATTCATCATTATTTCCATGGACTTCCTCAGGTCACTCAGGATCCAAGGTAGCACTACAGTTACCTCATTTACAACAGTTGAAGCTCAGAGCAAACACATGTGAGACAGAAAATGAACCACCTGAATAGCAGCAGTTATGTTGAGAATTCCTCACACTTAGCATACACAGTGACCTCCTAAGAGAAAAGAGGAAATTTCGGCTCATTGATCACACTCATTTTCCTTTTTCTGAAAGTATTCTTCTGAAGGAATAATACTGACTGATTTATTCTGGCCCTGTTTTTCATTATGTCTCCATTGTATTTACACATAAAATTACCTTGAGTTTATGGAATTGTCCCTGTTGTAACTCAGAAGTCACGGTTCAGCTGTTGAGTCCGGAAGTTCTGGATGGTTTAGAGTCACTTGAGACTTTTCTTTTTTGAGACAGAGTCTCAAAAAAAAAAGTCCAGGCACCAGGCTGGAGTACAATGGTGCAATCTCGGCTCACCGCAACCTCCGCCTCCTGGGTTCAAGCAATTCTCCTGCCTCAGCCCCCCGAGTAGCTGGGATTACAGGCACGCGCCACCATGCCCAGCTAATTTTTGTATTTTTAGCAGAGATGGGGTTTCACCATGTTGACCAGGATGGTCTCGATCTCCTGACCTTGTGATCCACCCGCCTCAGCTTCCCAAAGTGCTGGGATTACAGGCGTGAGCCACCGTGCCTGGCCGACTTGAGACTTTTTAAGTCTTAGAGTTTGTTTGGATGGACCTGGAGGCTATTATTCTTAGCACACTAATGCAGGATCAAAACTACTCACTTATAAGTGGGAGCTAAATGATGAGCAACCCTGAAGCAAAGAGAAAAACAACAGGCACAGGGTCTACATTAGGGTGGAGTGTGAGATGAAGCCAAAGAGCAGAAAAAACAACTATTGGGTACTAGTCTTAGTACCTGGGTGACAAAATAATCTGTACAAGAATCCCCAGTAACATGAGTTTACCTGTATAACAAACTGCACATGTACTCCTGAACCTAAAATGAAAGTTTACAAACAAGCAAAATCATGACAATGTCAACTTGTGTCCATTTTTTATGGGATTCCACCGAGCTGAGTATATCTTGCCAGGGGGCAACCTCTCAAGTAGCTGGTGAGCATTTGTCAAGTATTTTTGTAATTTCTTTCAGCTCCATTATTTTGCCAATTTAGTTTTGTAAACTAAATGGTAAAGGCATTATCACAATAAAAACTGCTTAGGAAAGGTAAAAGCTGGCAGCGGATATTATTGTAATTTCCACATATTACACTTAACGAAAAGAAAGAAAACTGGCGCAAACGTAAGCTAACAATTTAATATTTTACGGTGCTTGTAATCTTAATACTTTCCTCCTGCATTAATACTTCTTGGTTTATCTTGCCCTTTTCCAGTTTTGTATATATTTTAACTCCCCTTGTCTAGTTGAAAAAGAAAACCTTAACCTCCATCTTCATAGTTTCTGAGCAATGCACTATGTATATAATTGAAAGATTTTTCCTTTAACTAATTCTTTTCCTATGTATATAATTGAAATACTTTGCCATATGGAGCACTGCAGCACAATGAGGAAACGGAGCCTGTGGGTCACTGCACATATATCCTATGACCCCAAGGAGGCTATAGTTCTCTTTTGTTACTGTTCCTCTAATGACATCAAGAGCTTAAAATATCCACCCAATAGCATTCCTACTGGCACACATAAAACCTCCAGGTCATCAAAGCTCATGATGCTGGAGATGAAGTTACCATTTTATTTTTTATTTTATTTATTTATTTATTTTTAAAGATGGGGTTTCACCATGATGCCCAGGCTGGTCTTGAACTCTTGACCTAGGGTGAACCACCTACCTCGGCCTCCCAAAGTGCTAGGATTACAGACGTGAGCCTTCGCCCGGCTCCATTTTATTTTATTTTTAGTTGACATATAATAATTATACACATTTATGATGTACATAGTGCTGTCTTGAGTTATACAATTGAGTTGTATAAACAGCGATGAGACCAAGATAATTAGCATCTCCATTATTTCAGACATTTATCATTTCTTTGTGTTGGGAACATTCGGTATCCTTCTAGCTATCTGAAACTATACAATATATTATTGTTTAATATGATTATATAAGAAACCCACTTTAAAAATGAGTCTTTGTATGTAATTGTGTCACTCATTTCAACCATTCATACTCAGATGTATATTTAGATTACAACATAGTAAATATGAGAGTGTGATTGTTCAGAGACTGTGCTCTCTTTCAAGAGAGTGCTTTTGATGCAAAAACAAATAAATGAAGAGAAATTGAATTCTTCATCACATCAGCAACCTCTGAATAAGTATAGTAGATGACGGGCTATACCACTTCAATGTGTAATGTTTACACTGACAAGACTTTTCTCCTCATGGGAGAATGTGCCTATTCCAGCACATTCCTAAGATTTAATACTAACCTGAGCCACCATATTATAGAAAACCACACATAAAGCAAGATCATGTAGTTTTATCCACAGTAACTAGCTGAAAAAATAAAAGGTACTTTCAATTAAATGTCATTATATTAAAAACTTGAGAAATCTAATCCTTGACCTTACTTGTGCTGTTAGATTTCTACGGTGATTTGCTTATATTATCATTTGTGTTTAATGATGCTGAATTTCTCCTACTGCTTCAGGAAATTACAGAAATCCATTTCCACTTCTAGGAGCACACACTTCCACCAAAATTAAACATTCACTGTAATATTCTGTTAATATCTGCTGTAATTTCATGCTGCTTTAGACTAGTCTGTTATACACATTTTATTTTTTAAATTTATTTTTATTTTTATTTTTTAATATATATATTATTGCACATTAGGTTCTGGGGTACATGTGCAGAACCTGCAGGATTGTGGATAGGTAAATATATGGCAATGTAGTTTGCTGCCTCCATGCTGGTCATCTGTATCTGGCATTTCTCCCAAGGTTATCCCTCCACAACTCCCTACCCGCTACTGTCCCTACCCTAGGCTCCCCTCAACAGAACCCAGTGTGTCATGCTCCCCTCCCTGTGTCCATGTGTTCTCATTGTTCAACACCTCCCTATGAGTGAGAACATGCGGTATTTGATTTTTTTGTTCTTGTGTCAGTTTGCTGAGAATGATGGTTTCCAGATTCATCCATGTCCCTACAAAGGACATGATTTCATAGTTTTTTTTTATGGCTGTGTAGTATTCCATGGTGTATATGTGCCACATTTTCCTTGCCCAATCTATCATCAGTGGGTATTTGGGTTGGTTCCAGGTCTTTGCTATTGTAAACAGTTCCACAATGAACATACGTCTTTATATATATATAAAGACATATAAATGTGTCTTTATAGTAGAACGATTTATAATCCTTTGGCTATATACCCAGTAATGGGATTGCTGGGTCAAACGGAATTTCTATTTCTAGGTCCTTGAGGAATCACCACAGTCTTCCACAGTGGTTGAACTAATTTACACTTCCACCAGCAGTGTAAAAGTGTTCCTATTTCTCCACATCCTCTCCAGCATCTGTTGTCTCCAGATTTTTTAATGATCGCCATTCTAATTGGCATTGATGGTGTCTCAATGTGGTTTTGCTTTGCATTTCTCTAATGTCCAGTGGTGATGAGCATTATTTTATATGTTTGTTGGCCTCAGAGATTTCTTCTTTTGAAAGTGTCTGTTCATATCCTTTGCCCACTTTTGAATGGGTTTGTTTGCTTTTTTTCCTTGTAAATCTGTTTTAGTTCTTTGTAGATTCTGGATATTAGCTCTTTGTCAGATGGTAGATTGCAAAATTTTTTTCCCATTTCATTGGTTGCTCTTTCAGTCTAATGATTGTTTCTTTTGAGCTCTGGAGTTTAATCAGATCCCATTTGTCTATTTTGGCTTTTGTTGCCAATGCGTTTGGTGTTTTAGTCATGAAGTCCTTGCCTGTTGCCTATGTCCTGAATGGTTTTGCCTAGGTTTTCTTTTAGGGTTTTTATGGTGTTAGGTCTTATATTTAAGTCTTTAATCCATCTGGAGTTAATTTTAGTGTAAGGTGTCAGGATCTTTGACAACCTGACAAAAACAAGCAATGGGGAAAAGATTCCCTGTTTAATAAATGGTGTTGGGAAAACTCGCTAGCCATGTGCAGAAAGCAGAAACTGGACCCCTTCCTGTTATCCACATTTGAACAACAATCATTTCTGAAATAAGAGAGATTGAGTCATTGGGAAACCAGGATTTGCTAAAAAGATGTCACTGACTTGGATTTCTTTAAAAGTGAGCAGTTTTTCTAGGAACACTGTAAATGGGTCAAATAAACACAATGGCTCCATAATTAAGAGTATTACAACACACTGACTCTTTCTTATTGATATACAGTATCATAAATTACTCCCAGTCAGTGGATACCCAGAATGTCAGGCATTCTGTCTGCAGAAATTGCTTCCTAGTCCCCGGCTAACACGTGTTCTTTCAGTGGGTCTAAAGGAATGCCTACCAACTATTGGCGGTAAACAAAGGATTGTTGTGGAATCTTTGGGGTGTCGATTTTCTTCCCGGAAAACTCGGTGGTCAGTGGCACTTTCTTGAGTCCAGAAGAATGAAGTAAGCAGACGTATGAAGGGCGAACAAGGTGAAGATGAGCTTTATTAAGTGTTACAGCAGCTTGGAGGAGACCGCAGTGGGCAGGTGCACTCTGCAGCAGGTCAGCCGTGGGCCCTACTCTGGCTGAGCCCAGGGCTTTTATGGAGCTCAGAGGGGAGGAAGTGCGAAGGGCCCGTGGGCGCCACGGGCAGGCCGGAAGAGGCACCCCAAGTCCCCACTCTGGTCTGCCGCCTAACAACCCAGCTGCAGCCTCCAGCCTCTCCCTGGCCTGAGGTGGGGCCTTGCTGGGGGCCCACCCCTTCCGCCCGGGGTCCGCCCCTTCGTCCTGGGGGTCCGCCCCTTCCGCCCGGGGGTCCGCCCCTTCCTCCTGGGGGTCCGCCCCTTCCGCCCGGGGGTCCGCCCCTTCCGCCCGGGGGTCCGCCCCTTCCGCCCGGGGGTCCGTCTGCCTCCCCTCCCGCTGCGGTTCGCGGGCCCCTGGGGCTCGTTCTGACCGGCGTTCTGAGACTGGGGCAGCCAGGAGGGAAGACAGTCCGGGCGGCTGAGCAGACCCCGAGCCTGTGAGCGATACGAGCACATTTTTATGCTATAGGTCTGTGTAGTGTGTTCCTGTGATAAAGCGATTCACAGAAAGTGTGATTAAGAAAATAGGAAGGGGACCCCGGGGCGGCGTGGGGGCTTCCCGGGCCAGAGGGTGCCGGCTACAGACGCCGGGTCCTTCCTGGGACGGCGGGTCCAGCGCGGTCCCGGTCACCCGCCCAGCGCACGGGGAGGCTCCGTGCTCAGCTGCAGTCGGGGCCCTGCCCGGGAGGCGGGTCTCCTGCCTGTTCTGGAGCAAAGCCTTGGGTCTGTAGCTGCAGTTTGCAGCTGGGCGGCCGCGCCCACCTGCTCCGTGGAGTGCGATCCCCAGCGGCGCCTGCTGCTGCAGCCGGAATGAGGGCAGCGGTCACTGCCATCAGGATCAGCTGATAATGGTTAATGTTTTCTCTAACATGTTGTGGAATCACATTTTATACACAATGAAAATGAAGAAGAATGATGAAGAATGCTAAATACATACACAGTATGAACCCTGAGTTCTATCTGCATATTCAGGAGCACTGGTCATTCTACAGTCGTAACTAGAGTTTACTAGTAAAACAATTTTTCATATTAGATGCTCATAGGCACACTCTGAACAGAAACATCATAACGCTTGGTATCGTCAGTCATTTTTATTTTATCCATTCTAGGGGGTGGGTGTGTAGTGGTCTCATAATGATTTGAATTTTTCATTTACATCTTGACATTTTTAAGGCATAGCATATGCTGTGGCAAAATAGTAAATATACAAAATATATTAATCAAATGAGAAAGGTTTTCTAATATTAAAATGAATTGCTTTTCTATTTCATAGTGCTCTAATATAACTTTTCAAAATTAGCAGTAGCTGTTTCATTTCTATAAAATGAGGGTTGTTAAAATGAATCAATGCATTTATTCCATGCATAATTCATGAATGAAATCTATAAATTCCAAAATAATAATGATAGGCCCAACTCATAATTTTTATAATTTTTACATTTTAATTTCTATAATAATATAATAAATATATTTTCTCCAATCTTATGACATTACTACTTATCTCCATTGTGTTCTAAGATTCTGAAAAATAGGATATACAGTTGGCCTTTGAACAACATGAATGTTAGGGTCACTGAACCCCATGTGCAACTAAAAATCTTATATATTAATAACATTTGGCTTTCCAGAAACATAACTACGATTAATCTACTATTGACCTGAAGCCTTACTGATAACATAAACCATATTTACACAATATTAATAATATAAACAATATTGATTCATATCAGCCTTACTGGTAACATGAACAATATTAACACATACTTTGTATGCTGTGTAGATGATATAGTGTATTCATATGAAAAAGTGATCTGCAGAAAAGAAAATGTCATTAAGAAAATCGTAAGGAAGGGCAAGTGTATTTACTATTCATTAGGTGGAAGTGGATCATCATAAAGGTGCTCATTCTTGTCTTCATGTTGAGGAGGAGAAAGAGGAAGGATTGGTCTTGTTCCCTAAAGGGTGGCAGAAGTGAAGAAAATTCATGTATAAGTGGACCGACATAGATCAACCCCTGTTGTTCAACAGTCAACTATAGTTAAGGAATTTCTTGTTGTTCTCTATGAGCCACATATCAGTAGAGAAACTAAAAACATTTAAATTACTAAAATGTAAGACACACTGTGATAATGCTATAAAGCAGGAACCAAATTCTGAAGGAGATTATGGAAAGATCCCGTGCTATCTGATGAAATAATCTTTATATCGTGTAGTGCCAATAGACAGGTTACTTATATCTAAATATAGTTGGAGGGAGGAAATTGATAGAAATCGAAGTTATATAATCTTATTCTCATACTTTTTTAGACTAGAATTTCCTGTTTATGCAATGGAGAATAAAAGTGTTTGGATGGAACATAGAATAGGCAGACAAGAGTTTGGGAATAGGATTTTGATATTGAGAAAGATTTTTAGAGGTATTGTATATACTATGTACTCTGTGCATCTGTGTGTGTGTGTGTGTATGTGTGTATACATATACACACATATCTATATGCATGTGTATATACATATATACATATATGCACATATGTATATAAATATACATATATGCATATAAATATATACATATTCACACACACACACACAGACAGAGGGGGAGAGAGAGATAGAGCTTGGACCAATGTAGCAAATATGGAAAAAATTAGAAAATTATTATAAAACAGCAGCAATACATCTTAACAACTTATAACCTGTTGCTTGAAGATAGTATTTTAAATAATTGAACTGAAAAGAGGTGTGCTGAAAGGACCATGAGGGAAGACGTGGCCTAAGGAGACACCGTGGAGTATAGGTGTTTGGAGATGCTCAGCTTGTGAAAAGCATGAGATGTCCAGTCGGAAGTTATACAAGGATATGTGGAATTCAGAAGGGAGGTGGATAAATGTGAGATTCAATGATAAAATATTAGTTGATGTTCTGAAGAAAATAGACCTTTGAGGAAAGAAAATACATGTAATAAGCAAAGAGAGACTTCAGGAGTTGTGCTTTGGTGCTGTTTATTTTAAGTGGCTGGATGAGGACAGGTGAGTCACTCAAGGAAACATAGAACAATTATAAAGGTTAGGTCAACTAAATGATTTAAATGGTATGGAAGCCAAGTTATTCGAGGAATAAAAAGAAAGAAAATAACATCTATTTCACTTTTCTCTTTTTTACAGAAAGTTATGATTAAGTGATTAATATTACCAATTTATAGAGGAGGCTGAGAAACAGAGATATTAAGTTACTTTCCTAGGCTAAATGAGTAATAAAACTGGGATTTTACTAAAATCAGATAGTTAAAAAGAAAGAATAACTCTCAATAAAGCAAAAAAGAAAATGTATCATTGGTCTATTAGCCAAGACGAATCAAATTTTGTTGAATTCCATAATTAACTGAGCTATCTCAAGGGCTTAATACAGCAAATATTTGTTTGGGTCTCTAACTTCATGTTCAGCATGTGTTAGGGTTACGACTTGGAATAGTGGGCTCTGATGCACATCGTCATTTTCATGTCACATACAGGCTGTATCTCATAAAGTGTGTTGGCAGGGGAAAAGATCAGTTGCAGATTTCTTACTGCTTTTTCTACACATTGGTCCAGAAGTGACACATGTCACTTGGTACACAGCCTGTTCTGTAGAACCCACGTGCAAGTTCTGATTAACTGAGGAGGTGCTGAAACATGAGAGAGCAAATGTTATATGGGAGGAGTTCCACTGCTTAACTAGATTGTAAAGTACTAATGAGGAAGTAAGGGAGCAATCCAGATGAAATGATAAGACAGATTAACTACATAAAGAGGAATCCAAGGAGAAAAGATTCGGAAGACACAAAAAAGGCAAGAATATATTGATGAAATGAGGACCCAAATAAGACTGAAAAAAAGAAATTAACATTTTAAATGATAATAGTCGCAATAAAGCATCGAGTCTAAAGCTTCAGATAGTAAAAAATTCCCTAGCTCATATTAGATACAGAATAGTTATTTTCAAATAAGTGAGTGAATTATCTGATTAAGTTAAAAAAAGGACTTAAAAACATATTTCCTATGTAGAGCTGCATACAAAAAAAATCAGAACTTTAGAAATTTTAAAGCTTATCATGAAAAAATAACTCTGAAGGGAATTGTTATTCCAATGTGTGTTAATTATAATTTCAAGAAATGAGTTAAAATATCTAATGAAATAGGGATCTCTAAGAGGACATGTGCAATAGCATACATACTGAAGTTTAATGCTGTCTGTAGCACGAGGGACAGTTTTAATTCCTTAAATCATTAATCAACTTTTTTAGGTTTCCAGTAAAAATATGTTCTTTTCATCCCTTAATAAATTAAAAATTATTTTTAAAAATAAAAACACATAATTTACCCCAGTTTTTCTTCATAAAGGTAATATTGCTAATAATTTTATGTCTCATTTTCTAAAAATGTATCAAATAGATCAAGATACATAGATCATAAATACTTAACCAGATAGATTTGTTATTTTACTTAAGAAAGTAAAATATACTCTTTCTTGAACCTTCTCTTTGAATGTTATTTCATTCACAAAAGAAGTAAAATTATAAGATAAAACTGATAAAAATACATGCTTTTCAAATATAACTGTACTTATGTTTGAAATATTAAGTTCAATTAATGTTGATTATTAAAAAGCAGTATCATTTTTCAGCTGTTTTAGGTTTATCATTTAAATAAATAACATCTCTGATCAGTTTTTATATGACACACTATTTTTCATTAGGCATTTATTACCAAATTATAATGTGTTCTAATTTATCTCACTATTTTATTGTATAATAATACTTGAAATGTTATATCACAGGAATGAGTCTATGTAAATTTCTTTATTTAAAGTGTCAAACAATTTTCAATTCAGAGAATTTATGTAGTAAATAATAAAATTGTTTATGAAGGGATTTATATAATTATTAAAACATTTGTTTTTATATAGGAAAAATATGCACTCATCACTTTAAGTTCTTTTTGAACCTGGATTTTCCTTCACATTCCTTGGCTAATAGTCAATATTCAATATAGTCTATATTTTACTTTATGATATATATCCAGTAAAATGCTATGTGGACACAAAAAGCAAAAGTAGGGGATGTGTGGTATATAAATCAGCATATCAGTGGAGAATACCAGTGAGTGACCATCACTTTAAATCTCATATGTAAGCACTGGTCACCTGACAGTAAGCACCATGATAAACTATACTTTATTCATGTTTGTAGTCTCAGTGCCTTGAAAAGTATTTAATAAGATCTATGTAGCTCTTGAGAGTTCATTGATAAGAAAATTCATAAATTAATAAGTAAATAGTGATCAAATAGTCAGCTAAAGTAATGCTTCATGAAGAAACAGCATTGAGGTAGCATTTGGGTGTTCCTATGATTTGGCAACCTAAGACTAGAAATGATTATATCTTTCAGACCTACATATTTTCTTATATTTAAGAATTATTTGTTCTGTTTGGATATTTATTTAGAAATCTCGCTATTATAAATAAATATGTATTAAATTTGAATTGAAAATATTGCTATAAGAAAATGAAAAAATCCTTATACTGAAGTTAATTTTTATTTAATGTTTAATATCTTCCACATATTTCATAGTTTTATGTTATTACTTCTATTATTAAAATTTGAAATATATACAGAAAACTCATTGAAAATATATTCTAAGTTTTTAATCATAAGTAATTTTTTTATAGATGGCAGTAATATACCAAAATACATTGTTCTAGTGCTGGAAATGAAAGCTGTTAAAACACAGACCTGTTTGCCATAAATGTCCTCATCAATTGATAAAGCACCTGCCTATATACTTAAGAAAAAATGCCCAAGAATACAGACAAATGAACAAAACTTATAATTATGTATAATCTGTAGTTCACAGTTTTAAAAACAAATGTATTACAATATCTGTACAAATAGTTATTAACAAGTTACTATTTATATTCAAAGTTTCCTTATCTTGACCACGTTTAAAGAAAAACAAAAAAAAAAATCATGCTTACCTTTCTCAGTTTAGATAAATAAACTTCTTAGCCACAATTTAACAAAAAAAAAGTCTATTGCACCATTTTTAGTTTTGGGAATATCTTTTGGAAAAGACTCTAAAATAATCTTCAGAGAATTATCTTCAAATATACCAAAAAACTTCTAAGTAACATTTCCTTGTAATTCTGTAAAAAGGCTTAAAATCTAGGCACTAATTTTCAGAAGAGTCCTTCTGTGACACTCTTGTCTATGGCCATTGGTCAGTTCCTTATATGTAAGCAATCTACAACTCTAGTTATATAGTTTTCTCTGTATATTTCTAATTTTCACTAGGCCCTGATTTTTTATATCTATAGTCATCCCAAATCTTTTCTGTGAACTCACATTTTCTTAAATATTCAACCATTTCATAAACTGCTCTTTCTACTTCTAAGTCCTAAACTGAGGATCATTACCTTTACTTCAAGAGACCTCTTCCCTCAAAGAAGAGACTACCTGTTCACAATCTTAGCTCATAGATCCTGTTGGAAGTGGGTAGAATTGTGTCCCCATAAAACATATGTCTAATTTGAATGACATAATGTGACCTTTATGAAGTTAAGGGATTTGCAGTTGTAATCAAGTTTGGGATTATAAAATGGAATGACTCCTGATTAGAATGAACCCTAAATCCACTAACAGGTTGTCAAGTCTGACCAGCAGACTCTGGCCAAGCAACGGATGAAAAATTACATTGATACAGGTTTTTCCCTGAGAGAACACAGCCAGGGGGATAGTGCCACTTTGGCCCTGCTGAAGAGTGGGGCCCGCTGTGCCATCCTGATCAGCCAGAGAGGCTCCCCATTTATTTAGTACAGATTTAATGACAAAGGCCTCGAGTAAACAGCATTAGCAGATAATTAACATTGCCAAACCCCCATGTAGAGATGAGTTTTACATGAGGATGATCAAAGGTCAGTCTTAGTAAACAAGCTATGTAGATAAACTCCTCTACATTCCCTTATTATCTGCCCTTTGCTATTAGCTCAAGGTAAGATTAGGCTCCCTTCAGCCATTACTCACCCAAGGCTTTTGCAAAACCTTCTGACCTTCCAAGAAGGTTTGCATCTTTCTGTATAATTTTTTCCCACCACCCTGACCAATCTCCTTCATCTCCCCCTTTTCTGCTTTTGTGCGTCAGGTTTTGTTGATTGCGGAGTACAGATGTGTGGACAGTTTTGTCAGGTGCAGTGGTTATAAGTCATGTTCCAGCTTTGCGTCTTCAAATTAGTAAATAACATGAGGCAAACATTATTTTCCAATAAAGGAGTGACATGTAGTGTTCCTTGGCACCTCAGACTACTGTGTGCCATGGATGATAGACCCCACCAGGGGTATGTCAGTTCCTCCTAGCCAGGCAGTAGACTTGTTCGCATCTGGGAAGGGAGTGTCTGCCTAAGTAACAGGCAGGAAACAAGGCAGATTTAGAAGGCAGGCTCAATGAAGTATAGCAGGTACAGGTTGCCGGCAAAATGAGAGAATAAAAAATGAACAACGTATCTGGGGTGAATGGTGTTGGTGTTTGGAGCAGGATTCGCTTAGCCTTCTGAGTTTTTTTTTTCAGACTTCTCCAGGTAATGTCTAGGGCTTGTGTCATCCAAGGAAGCCACATGGTCCAGGGCTGCAGGTTGTGCAGGATCATTTTCTTCATCTCTGGTACTGGGGTAAGTCCTAGCCACACCATAGTATTGTTTGATACATCGTGCTGGAATCCAAAGAGGGCCTGAGGGGTGCGAACACAAGCACATCCTCTTCTCCATGTTAGCAAATCATCCGGACCACATCATTCATTGCTATTTACATCTTCCATAAAACTGCGGGTTTTATGTCTTGAGAGGTTTTAGCAAAGTGCTTTTCTATAGCCAATTGAAATGTGTCATCTAAATTTAAAAATTAAGGGTGATTAAAGCTTGTGCTCGTAGTATTGCAGGGGTTAAATACCTGGGAGAATCTAGGACAGCGTTGCCTTTTCAGACAGAAAAGGCGTTTTGCAACTTACCAGTTATGCCCAAGGTGGAGCGGGAGCAGTTAATGTCGCCCAGTAATTTTCGATAATCATTGAAGGTATGTAAGTTGCTGGTATTTAATTTAACCTTTTGAGGCCTAACTGATCTGGAAGTTAGTGTGTATAGGACATTTGTACTTTTTCAGGTGCCATGACCAAACCTCTTAACATACTGTATTTTAAAAAATTGCTTAGAGTGGATATCAAGTGTTCTCAGTAGGGGAAAAAAAGTATGTCAGGTAATGCATATGATAATTAGGTCAGTTTAGCCATTCCACAATGTATTTCAAAGCCACATGTTGTACGTGATATATATACATAGAATTTTATGTGTTAATTTAAATAAATTAACACATAAAGAGGATGAGGCTGCTGAGAAGAAAGACAGGAGGGAGCATTCTCTGCTGTTTCCTTCCCCTAAGACAGTGAATTCAGAATAGTTGCTGTCAAATTAGGTATCCCCAAGATGACAGGACTGAGGCTCCTGGCTACTGAGGCTGGAAGGGTGTCATTGGCCCAGTGCTGGGACTCTCAGACAGAAAACAGACAGTCGAGGAACCGGGATGGAGGCAAACCTCTATCCAACTTACTGGCTGGGAGGTGATGATTTAGATGGAGATAACTGCACTTAGCAATGGAGGTCAGAGGTTTCTCTCATGGGTCTGGAAAGGGGTTTGGGGGTGGACTAGCCATGGGAGCAGGGAAAGAGAGAGAGAGAAAGAGCAGCCAGCACCTACACTCATCCCGGGTTTTGGCACCAAAATGTGAGGTTGACCAAAAGGATGGAGAGGCAGACCCCAGATCAAGTTTAGCAAGTATATGTTAACCTGCCAGGCTAGCTGCATCACCACAGACTGTGGGGGTTATATAGGGGTTTGCAGTTGGTCTGGGGCTATTCTAAGAAAAACAGCATCCTGGTTCTTAGGTGCTAACATTCTGTTTAATTGGGTCACCATCCTGAGTTTGAGAGTGGGCTGTGACCAGATCCTGGAACTCAGGTGCCCTGTTTGCAAAGTTTGAGGCTGTTTTTATTGTGAGCTCAGCTTAGCAGGGGGGAACGGGGAGGTGGGGGGGCCAAGGGCTTTTCTTGCTGTGATCCTAACACAGACTTCTAATCCTTAGACACTATTCTTCTAGTAGTGAGAAAGCAAACTTTACCCCCAAGAAACACTTGCCACTCGGTAAGAAGGGATGTCTTGAATCTTCACAGATGGTCTTGGCAATGACTGGGAGAATGAACAGCAACTGTGAGACTCTCCTTCAAAGACTTCTCTCTGCATCCTCCTCCCATTAATTCTTTGCTTTATGAAATCTTTACGCAGTACCAACATTCTGATGAGAGTCCTGTGTGTTCCCAATATCCTACAGCCTTCCCAAATAATATCCTGACCCACCTTTAAAATTACATGAATTTATACCACCTCATAATAGACTCATGCTGCAGATATTATCTGAGAGAAGTAGAGTTACAACAAAATATGTATTAAATGAGATTAAATTGCCAACTTGATAGACTAGGATTTTGTAAAGTTTCTTTTAAAACTCTTTACATTTTACTTTTAAAAAGAACATTATAGAAATATCTAAGCTGCAAAAAATACCTTCATTAAATTTTAGTGCTAATAGTTTACTAAATTTTCTGATTTTGTTTTTTATTTTATCTTAGATAAGGCTATTCATTACTCTTCATTTGTAAAAGAAACTATAATCAACTATAATTTATAACTCAATTTTCTGCTGCTGTGATTTTATTCACAACACAAATGTACCTACATATTTAGGTTCACTTGTCATTTCAGATATGCATTCCCACATTTGACAAAGCTAAATACATTTTATTTTTTCATTTTAATTAAAAAATTATTCTGTATGATGTATAAATGTATTTTATATGTGTGCGTGTGGGTGTGTGTGTGTGCGTGTGTATATATATATATATATATATATATATATATATATATACCCATACAACTTCTGCCTCCCAGATTCAAGAGATTCTCCTGCCTCAGCCTCCCAAGTAACTGGGATTACAGGTATGGGCCACCATGCCCAGCTGATTTATGTATTATTAGTAGGGATGGGGTTTCACCATGTCAGCCAGGCTGGTCTTGAACTGCTGACCACAGGTGATCTACCTGCTTTAGCCCCCCAAAGTGCTGGGATTACAGGCACGAGCGACTGCACCCAGCCATTTTTGTATTTTTAGTAGAGATGGGATTTCACCATGTTGGCCAGGCTGGTCTGCAGCTCCTAACCACAGGTAATCCAGGCACCTTGGCCTCCCATTGTGCTGGGATTACAGGCATGAGCCACTGTGCCTGGCCTATATATTTTTAAAGTATCCATTGTCTGGAGGACATTTATGTAGAAATGCAATTTTTAATGTTATAGATTTATCAGACTCTGATTTCAAGGTTGACTTATCATGTATAGTGATTAAGAAGTGATAGTGAGCTTCAAGAAAAGCTTAGGAAAAATATCCTTTTAAGGATTCAATTAAGTGCCCACCTCCTCAAAGGAGATATTTCACTTTCGGAAAAGCAATAATAAAATATTGAGAATAAATTTCAATAGCTGTAATATTTAAAGTTCCCTTCTAATTACTGATATCTGGAAGTGGAATGAGGTAAGATTAATTTGAGTCCTTTGACACCGATGAACAATCTGAGGAAAGAGTTTAAAATATAATAACCGGTGGGTTCTTGACTAGAAAACAATTATCTTTCATTACAGATGCCGTAATTTATTGTCCCTGCAGTTTCAAGGGAACTTTATGTAATCATTATTATGTGTAATTGTTCTTCTGGGTATAAGTTTAGTATAAAACGTAAGTATATAATTAGGAACTTATAATTTAGAAACAAGATGAGGGCTTCTGAAATGCAAGTTTAATAGAATCATTTGAATATACTGCCAAAAAGAGCTGATAATTCAAAAACATAATAAGAGTAACAATAACTACAACAGTCTCCAAAACATGTTACACATATACTATCTGTTTATCAGATCCTGGGGAAATATGGTGACATAATTAATCCAAAGTCAATAAGCAAATGCCTTCCTGCACCTTTCTTGTCTTCTGAATTCACTGGAATGAAAATAGGATGTCAGCAACACAGTGCACTAGGAAGTCCTGGGTGACACCATCCACAGAGTCAATGATTTAACAGCTCTCTCCTAATGAAGAAAGCTTTGGGAACACTCTGTAGTACATCTGAGAAGCTGTAGCAACCCCGTGGAACCAAAAAACTGAGGACAAATGCAGAGACAAGGGTAGGAAACATTTTACCTGTGGAATCTAAATAGTTAAACTCATAGAGGCACAGAGTGCAGAGGCTCAGAGGAGGAAACAAGGAAAGTATATTGGTCAAGAGATGCAAATATTTAGTTATTCAGGTCGTAAAATAATAAGTATATGTATTCTTGTCCAGTTTCCTGGCACAATTTCTAGAACCCTTGGAATTTTCAGTGATGTGCCTTTTTGTATGCTAATAAGGTGATGGAAGGCTAGGGGGTTCATTGGGGATGGCGGCCAGAACTGATTATAGGGCTGCAGTTTTTAGCCCCACACCTGAGCCTCAGAGGAAGGGGAGTCAAAAGTTGAGTTGATTAGTAGTGACCAATGATTTAGGCAATGATTCCTAAGTAATAAATCCTCCATTAATACCCACAAAGAGGATTTAGAGAGGTTCTGGTTTGCTGAACGTGTGGAGGTCGTGGCAAGGTGGTGGTGGAAACGTGTCCACGGAGAATATGGAAGCTCTGTGCCTCTTCCCCAATACTTGTCTATGTACCTCTTTATCTGGCTGTTCATTTGTACCCTTTGTAATACCCTTTATAAAATCAGTAAATATAATTGTTTCTCTGAGTTCTGTGAGTTACTCTAGCAATAAGAGCACCCAAAGAGAGGATCTTGGGAACCTTCAGTTTATAGCTGGTTGGTCTCAAGCACAGGTAATAACCTGGGGTCTACAATTGGCAACACACGTGGTGGGGGGCAGTCTTGTGGGACGAATCTCTTAAACTGTGGCGTTTGTGCTAAGTTTGATTAGATTCAGAATTGAATTAATCTGGATTTAGGACACGCAGGCGGTATGTATCGTAGTGTGGGGAAAAGCCTCCATGCATCTGGTCACAGAGGTCTTTCATGTTAAGTGTAGAGCATAATAAAAATAATTTGCTTTTTCCTGTTATGTACAAAGATGAGTAAGTTCTCAGAATCTAAGGTACAGCCTGGTAACTATAGTTAACAATATTGTATTGCATATTCGAAATTAGCTAAGAGAGTAGACCTTAAATGTTCTCACCTAACCACACACACACACACACACACAGACGCACACAGACGCACGCACCCACACACACACATACATAAATATTAATATAAGGAGATAGATATTTTAATTAGCTTGATTGTGGTGATCATTTCACAATCTGTCTCCATATACAAAACACCAAGTTGCATACCTTAAAAATATATAATTTTATTCTTTAATCATATCTCAGTACAGCTCAATTAAAGGATATTAAATAAATATAAATTTCCAGCAATACTGCAAGGAAGGAAGGCTGCTTTTAGAAGTGACTGCTAAAATATCTCCACGAAACAACCTGATATTGTACTCAGTTGTGTGACTAGGAGTACTCACTAGATCTGGG